CTTCCACTATCCAGACATAATGCGAAGGTGATAATAAAGATCCTACTATGATTCTAATAAAAGGTCTTCTACCATTACTAAAATGTACAGCAGAGTTAAGGCTTGGCTGACACTTGCTTAATTATTCCTACCTGACTTCAGAAGATAAGTCTTCCGCCTCCAAAGAGTCCTGTGAGCTGTGAATTGTGATCGCCATCTACAGCCCAATTGCTAAACCATGTCATGGCATAGAACTCTTCCTCTGCAATCACAAAATAAAAAAAAACGTTCTCTTCAAATCAATTCAAATATCTTTAACATCATTTCCAAGCATGAGTATATGACAGAATTTTTTAACAGAGGCAGAGCTATGTGTTAAGCTCCACCACTGCATACGAAAGTAAGCAGTAAGTGCCATGAATATATTCCAAACAGAAGTTGTTGCAAGGCTCGGCAAGCAGAATTACTTGCATAATGACATTGCCAAAGATAGTGGCAGTAAGTGGCTAAAGCAAGGCATCGGAGATGATATTTTTCATGGCCTTTCTCTTCTATTCCCTCTGTTCCATAATGTAGTGCCTAGAGATTTTTGCGAAAGTCAAACAATACAAACCATATTTATAGAGAAAAGTAGGTACATCTAGAATACCAAATACACATCATTGAATACATCATGAGTTATATTTTCAGAATGTACATGTTTGGTACTGTAGATGTAGACAGTTTTCTCTATACACTTGGTCAAAGTTGGCAAAGTTTGACTTTCACAAAAATCTATAGCACTACATTGTGGAATGGAGGGAGTATATGATTGTACTGTTCATGAAGACATCACATTATGGTCATACCTGTGGATGAAATAAAAGGTTTCTTAGATACATGCAACTAGTCTCACACATTTCTGCATCAGTATATCTGAACATGAAACATCAAACATTACATGATTTTCAAATACCTTAATCACCTGTTGCAGGCCAGAATAGATGTTTTCCAATTGCTAGATACTGACCTCCACTTAATGCTTGCATTCCATGCAGGTTAGTCTTCAACTGCATTTATATTGAAGTACAGATTATTAGCGCACTGGCATTTTGGTTTGCAAATGCATAAATGTAGCATGCAGCTAAATGAACAAACACACAGATAAAACACCAAAAGGTGCTCGCAATCTATTCAAAAGCGCCTATGTCGACTGTGCGATATTGAAAGAAAAGAAATATTACTGTCTATTCTCAAACGCTCCAATGTAACACCCTCATTTTGCCTTAAACTTCTATCAGAGTGCAAGATATGTCATCAGCAGTGACAAGAAAGTGAATGAACTAATCTTGAATTGGCTATCCAAAAAAGGAATAATCCTGAAGAATTTGACAGATGGATTTGCATTCAATATCATGCAACAGTTACTGACTATTGATTATTCTCGATGTGGACTATGTAGGAGAGGGCGAGAGGCCCTAATATTATAACAGAAATGAACCTAGATCGTAGTTCTGCCTTCTACAGCAAGATAACGCATGGCATAAACTGCACAAGACATACACAAACAAAACATGGGGACAAGCTATGCTGAGAGTGACAGGAGTGGTGATTGGCAAAAGAAAGAGTGGTTTAGAGATGATTCACACAAAAATTCTGCAAAAAATGTGACTAAGATGTAGGGTTTAACAAAAAAAAAGAAACAAATCATGTCAAGTAAACTAAAGAAATATAGGTCAATGCAACACATTGACAAAAAACCAACCGATGATAACTGTGTCACTAGAATGTTTTGATAACTTTAGACAGTATGTGTATCAATAAATGTTTGGCTTAGATCAATGGTCAAGCGATATAAATAAGGCAGTTAAAGAAAGATAGAGATGACATCAAAGTATATATTTTTTTCAATCTGAGTGAAATGACCATTATTAAACCTAAGCAAACGTGCATGTAAAACCGCTAGTTTCAATGATTGGATAATGACGTGCCATAATCTAATTTCCAGCAATATACGTCACACTATATACATACACACAAATAATGCAGCAAGCCAAGTAAATCCTTATTGGCCGTTCTGGAGATCATGTCATACTAGTCTATAAGGATCTCAATAAAAAGAAAATAGTAAGGTCAAGCATCTCATTCGGTAGGTCGCCCAGAGCACGCCGTTCTAACAACATTTAGTCCAGGAGGATCCATTCCAGCAGGATTGAGATGTCCTCTCCTCCCTAAGGTACACCCTTTTTACTCTATAAAAATGTATTCCCCTTTCTTCGGCACAGATCATACTGTAGATGTGCAGTGCAGCAATCAACGATCTCATTCGGCAGCTCACCTGGAGCAGGCCATTCCAACCACATTTAGTCCAGGAAGATCCAGTCCAGCAGCTTTCATCTGGTACATCATTCTGGTGGCCTCTCTGTACCGCCCACCGCGTGCATACCCCATGGCCATGGCATTCCAGCACACAGCGTCAGGCTTGCCACCCACTGCCTCAAATGCCCTCGTGGCATCTGCAAGCCGTCCTTGCTTCGCATACATGTGGACCAACCCAGACATGACGAACTGGTCTGTTTCCACGCCGTGCTTGATGGCATCGCCATGCACTTGCTGTCCATAGCACCTGCAGTTCTCTGATTCTGCACATACTGCAAGGATAGTAGACAGGGAGAAGCTGCTCCTAGGGACTCCAGAGGACACCATGTCCCTGAAGACATAGATGGCCTCGTCCAGCAGTCCGTCTCGGTGGCAAGCTGTCATGAAGCTAGTCCAGGCTGCCTCGGGCACTGGCTCCTGGGAACAACACCTCATCGCCTGAAGCACTTGCCGCGCACTGTCATGCTGATTACTTGCGATGTACAGCTGCAGCAGCGAACTACCGGTATCACCGCAGACTCTCTTTGTCTTGATGACGAGGGCGTGTACCTGCTGACCAAAGCCCCTTAGTCTGCCCAGCCGAGCACATGACCGCAGCACTGCCACAATGGCATGGCCGAGCAGATCACCAGCGAGCCCCTGTTCTTCTTGGCACATGCGGGTGAAAAGCCTTATCGCTTCGTCGTGGAAACACCCATCGGAGTAGGCCGACACCATGGTCGCCCACGTGATGCCGTCCTTGACGGGAATTTCGTCGAACACCTTGCGGGCGGCCGCCATGTCGCCACAGGTCGCGTAGGCGAGTAGCAGCCGGTTGGCCAGCGGCAGGGGGTGGCCAGACGCGGCGCGTGTGGCGGCGACGTGGGCGTGCACGGCGGCTACCTCGGCGGCATCGACGGAGTCCCTGAGGAGGGAGACGTAGACGTCCTCGTCGGGCGCGACGCGGAGCAAGCCCATGAGGCGGAGCACGTCTCCGGCGCCCGAGGACGACCCAGAGCCAGAGGACGCCGCGCCCGTCGATGGTTCACGGCGGTCGTCTGGCTTGCCGTTGGTGGGGGCGTCGTTGGAGATGGGGAGCCTTGGGCGCGGGAGGAGAGGCGGCGGCGGCGGTGGTTTAGGCGGCTTCGGTAGGGCCAACAGCCGGTGCGTTCTTGTTGATGTCGTGGCCGGGGAAGCAGAGGCGCTGATGAGCAGACCGCGGCGGCGAGAGGGGCGCGGGGCCGCGGCGGTGGTGCAAAGCGGCTTCGCCGGGGAGCAGCGCGCCATGTCCAGTCGCGACGGCTTGCTCAAGTGGAGCCCACACGTCAGTGTCTCTTACAGTATCAAATGACAGTGGTCTGGTATGGGCTGGCCTGGGCTTCATTCTTAGCGTGTAAGGGAGCTGGGCTCGAGAACAGCAGCGAAGGGCTGCCCCTATGTCTCGCCTGTAGCGAGACGTAGGGAAGCCTCGCTCAACGCGAGAGTAACTCGGGCCGGCATAGGCCCGCGGAAGGCCACAGCCTCGGTTTTTTCTTCACTCTTTTGTTTTTGTTTTTGTTTTACTTTTTTATACTTCCAAATATTCGAAAAAATATATAAACACTATACATACAACATTGAAAAAAAATCTTGACCAAGCATTTAAAAAATGTTAAAATATCTTTAGAGAAAATGTTTATCATGTATATAAAAAAGTATACAAAAATATACAATGCATGTGAAGAAAGTTGTTAATCTAAACATTTGAATATTATCAAAAGAAGTCACAACATATTCTCGTTGTTGACCAAAATCCAGCAAGGGGACGTGCCACACGGGAGCTACTTGAGGATGTATGCTCCAGGAAGCATAGGAATGCAATGTTCAAGGAAATTGTAGGATTTGCCCCAAACAAGTCAAGCAAAAAGCAAGCTGATAGGGGGGGGGGGCACAAGCACAACATGTGTTGCGTCTAGGGGTGACCAACTATGACACAAAATAAGAGCCCACACTAACACCACAACAAAATAAGCAAGAGTTGCCACAAGGGAATGATAAAATGGGGACACCTCGCAAAGAAAAGGGTGACAGCTAGCAAGGCTACACACAAATATTTCTCTCCCAGTCTAACATCAGAGGCAACGCAACCCTAATAAGTTGCCTACTCCACTTTGACAAAGGCAACAAAACATACATTCCCTCTGCCAAGACAAAAAAACACATCATGCATCTCCGGTTACAAAAACACAAGCAGCAAGCCAACCACTAGTGGTGCCACGATTGAAGCCGAAATCCATGAATCCGGAGCTAAATCAAGGACAAGGCCCCAAATGGATGCCAGAGAGCCAATATCATTCAGCCTGGGGATAGATGACAAAACCATCGAGCAAGTTCCAGCAAACCTCAAGGAGAAAGTAAACAATTCTGAAGATTCGAACACAGACTAGGAGAGTGGAGATTTGAAAGTTTCTTGTGGCAGAGCTGACATGAAGTCACTCTCATTGCAAATGGGCAGAGTTGCCGTGAAAGAGGGGTCTACAAGCAAAATTGGCGATGCGCTCCATACACTCATGAAGACGGCAGGATGCCCAGTAAAACCCATTGACATATCTTTTTCAAGCAAGACAACAACCACTCATGTCCAGTGGGGCCATGAAAGAAAATCTCAATTTGTAGACTATGAGAGCAAAGAGTCATTCATGTGATCGAAGGAATTAAACGATGTGCACAATGTCGTCTTACTTCACATGTGGTGTAATGCTAAGGAGAATGGGTCAGATAATAGGTAAAATACGACCAACCTTTTTTTGTTTAATTGCTTTTTTTGTACTTCATCATGTGTTTTTTCCTTTCTGCTTGTTTTTTTGCTTTTGTTTAGTACAATCTATTTTTCTTTCTTCACAGTCCAACAATAATAAACCATAGCAGCAACTACTTCATCACAACTTTCTATGGGGCAACCAATTCGGGAGTGGCGGAAAAACTACTATCTATGAGCCAGAAATTGATGGCTTTGCTTGAGGGGACGATACAGCCAGAAAATGATGGCTCTGCAAATGGAAGATGACGAATGGTGCATTATTACAGCAGTGACCCTAAGAACATGTGAGTCATTGTGCTACTAAAACTGATACTATATACTGGATACGCCAGTGGCTGCTACTTTTGATCATCCTTTTGTTTTGATAGATTTGGATGCCACTTCTTACTGTAGTAAGTTTTGCAGTTCTTGGTCATTACTTTTGTATGGGGTCTAGAAAGTCGCATGGCTATTTTGCCATTTATGTGTTTGGGCGACGTGCAACTGACCTGTACTCATCTACGGCGTGCTTATCCGATTTTGGGTGGTTACTCTCTTGATTTTTTCACATAGTATGCACCTCTCTTGACTATTCGTGGCATGTCTGGTTGTTTTGATGCACGCACCATTTGTATGGGTTTGTTATTAGATTTCTTGTAGGATTAGTCTATGTAGTGCATTCCTATGAGCCCTACTTTCATGCTCCTTTAGCAGTTCATTTAGTAGGCAGAGTTTCAGAGGTGCGGTGATTTCTCTGATTCTTTGGTTGTTATGCTAAGATTTTCCCCATGTCCCTGAACTTGTTGATTTTGTAGGGTTCTTGTGGATAGTGCTGGTTGTTCTAGGGCATTGGAGTTGGCCAACTGCTGATGATGGGCAAGATGGAGCTGCTCTCCGAACAGTAGCTGCTCAGTTGTGACCATGAGGTGAGCTCCTTTTCTTATTTTTTGTGATTGGTTGATTGTTCGCAAGATAGGTTGTATTTTTGCGGCATATCACTGCGTTTTGTCTGTTTGTGTAGACCTTCTCCTATTTTATTGTCGGCTGTTTGATGAGAGGTCAGAGCGACAAATCCGAAGCGGCTGCTCCCTGGTAAGTCTTCCATGTACTAGGATTTTGCTTCCTGGTTTTTAATTAATGATAGAATGATGCTTCTTTTGATGTTGTATGCTAGAACAATCCTATGTTTTGTGCATCTCCCTTTTTATTTTGATAGCAAGATGCTCTTAATTTTCTTACGAGTTTGGTAGCTCAGTGCAATTACATGATTATTATCGAGCCCATGTATATTTAAAGCAACGTAGAATGTGGCTGTTTTTCCGTTTTTATAGAATTTGGTCCAAAAGTATGTGGTGTACAATTCATGGAAAACCTAACTGGGTTAATAAAAATGTAATCTGATTTAGTGTTACCCAACGAGATCTTTATTTGTGCTTTATAAAGTCAGATTAATTTTGACTTTTCAGTTGTATGATTTGTAGGTTATTATACTGACGCATGGTGCTATAATTAGAGAAAATTCCTTATTTGGCACTTTCTTAAAATTTGCTTTCCTATTTGACCCAAAATAAAATTTTCTATCCTATTTGACATCTAAAGTAAATTTTGTTCCTTATATGACATTTTTGTTCATTTTAAATATAAATGATGTTAAGTCTGAGGTGAAAAGACCGTTTTGCCCCTAAATGCAAAGCCAGCCACAAACAAGCACACAGATAGCTTGATTGATTCTTGTACGCGCTTGACAAAATTTCTAATAGTGGCACACGTACGTACAAGTGAATGCCTTGGCTAGCTTCAACTGGATCAATTAGATCGATTGTTTCTTGATAGAATCACACGGCTTTATGTGCCTGCCTCTTAGTCCGGGCGAGCATCTGTTCTCCGCCCGCGCGGTTGGCTGCCGTCGCTCCCAGCTACCGGGCCGTGTGCGTGCTGTACCGTTGCTCCTAGGTACCGGGCCGTGTGCATGCGTTCTCGTCGTCCTTGCTTGCCTGTCTAGTGTGTATTGTATGGCTGCCGGTATGCGTCATGTACTACTCCCTCCGTCCGAAAATACTTGTCATTAAAATGGATAAAAAGAAATGTATCTAGAACTAAAATATATCTAGATACATCTCCTTTTATCCATTTTGATGACAAGTATTTTTGAACGGAGGGAGTACTACAATATTTATTTCCAGGATTTATTATGTGCATCGTACTAGTCCTGAGATCAGTTAGTTAGAAGAATTAGTAGTACTAGCACAAAAGCCCGTGCATTGCAACGGGAGACATTTTTACACGTCTTATGCCTCAATCAGTCTCCTCGTCTTATCATCTCAGTCTGCACTCCTTGTCCTCGTCTCAGTCTGTGCTCCATATTATTTTGTGTTAATTAGAGTTTTCTTTTCATATTTCTTTGACTGATTTATGTCCATATTCCTTACAACTACTCCGTATTTTGTCTCATCTCCTTTCCTTCCTTTTATTATTGTCCCTCAATTCCTTTCCTTCCTCTTTCCTTGCACGTAGGGAATTAGCAAGATCCAGTCCTCATAGCTATCGCTTCTACGGTGATCAAGTCTGCTGCAAATGGAATGAATTTACACCGAGCCACCAGAAAATTAGCTCTATCATCCTTGAGTATAGCCGCCGTAGCTCCGACTCTTTCGTCTGTGAAAAATATTGCATCAACATTTGGTTTAGTGATACTCAGGTTTGCCTTACACCACCTGGCTTCAGGTATACTTGGTGAACGGAGTGATGAATTCTGATGATTGCTTGCAATTGACAAGACCAAAACTGACCATCTCCATGCTGCCAGAACCGCTTCGTTGTGCATAATTTGTCCGCGGATCCACCACAAGTACCAACCTCCAGCTGTTATCTCTTGTTTGAAATTCAAAGTTGGATGTATAGCTAGGTGTTCCTATGAAAGAGCTAAGATGTGTTCGAATATAACAGAACCCGATCTATCCCAAGGCGGGTCCACATGACTAACGCATTTGTGCACATGAATAGTAGATGTCAGATGTCCTCCACCCATTGATGACAAATAGGGCAGAATCCGTATGCACTAGTAGAAAAAGGGGCTTTCGTTCGGGCCTGGCCAGCCCATTAGTCCCGGTTCTTCCATGAACCGGGGCCAATGGATGCATTCGTCCCGGTTCGTGAGCCCAGGGGGCCGGCCGGGGCCCCGTGGGCATTGGTCCCGGTTCGTATGGACCCATTTGTCCCGGTTCCAGGCACGAACCGGGACTAATGGGCCTCACTCCTGGCCCACAAACATAGGTCCCGGTTCTTGGCTCGAACCGGGACAGAAGGTTGGGCTTTAGTCTCGGTTCCAGCCACGAACCGGGACAAATGAGCTTCCTATATATATCCAATCGCTGGCGAGCAGAGCACTCCACAGTGCTCTGTTTTTTGCTGGCCGGCGAGGAAGGGCATTTGGGTGCTCTAGCTCACCTTTTATGCATGTGAGGTGTTCGATGAAATGCCCGAGCCACATTAGTTAAGCTTTCTCCTC